AGAAGTGTTCTGGAAGACAGTAATCACGAGAAGTTATAAGAGCGAATTAAAAAATCACATTTGGAAGGGTCAAAGAGGGACCTGGTGCTTGGGAGCCGAAAAAGATTTCCCCTCCGGAATCAGACGCAACAATAGAGATGGTGCCAACAAAAATACAGCATAAAAAAAGGCAAGTGGCTATCTTCATTATATTGATGTTTTTGTGGGAGATGGATGCAAAATCTATTCAGTATTCCATAGTGGAGGAGACAGAAACTGGTACATTTGTAGCCAATTTGACAAAGGATCTGGGACTTAGAGTGGGAGAGCTGGCCGCTCGCGGAGCCCGGGTTGTTTTCAAGGGGAACAGACAGCATTTGCTGCTTGATCCACAGACCCATGATTTGCTGCTGCTAAGTGAAAAGCTGGACCGAGAGGAGCTGTGTGGCTCCACTGAGCCATGTGTGCTGCCTTTCCAGGTGTTACTGGAAAAGCCCTTACAGTTTTTTCAGGCTGCCTTGCAAGTCAGAGATATAAATGATCACTCTCCGGAGTTCCCTGCCAGAGAAATGCTCCTTAAGATATCAGAAATTACAACGCCAGGAAAAATATTTCCTTTGAAAATGGCACAAGATTTAGATGTTGGCAGCAACAGCCTTCAAAGCTACACTATCAGCTCCAATCCGCACTTCCACATTCTCACACGGAGTCGCAGTGATGGCAGGAAATACCCGGAGCTGGTGCTGGATAAAGCGCTAGACCGCGAAGAGCAGCCCCAACTCAGACTAAGGATCACCGCGCTGGATGGCGGGGATCCGCCGCGGACAGGGACCTCAGAGATTCGGATAATGGTTTTGGATAGCAATGACAACGCCCCCGAGTTTGCCCATCAGCTTTATGAGGCAACGGTCCCTGAAAACAGCCCTCTTGGCTCTCTGGTTATTACTGTCTCAGCGATCGATTTAGACGAAGGATCCTTTGGAAAGGTATCTTATGCACTACTTCAAGACTATGACATTAACCAAACCTTCGAAATAAACGCACTCACTGGAGAAATACGAGTGAGGAACACTTTGGATTTTGAGAAATTTCAGTCCTATCACTTGGATGTTGAGGCCACTGATGGCGGCGGATTAACAGGAAAATGCTCTTTAATAGTTCAGGTCCTGGATGTCAATGACAACTCACCTGAACTGACCGTGTCCTCACTCAATAGCCACATCCCTGAAAACCTGCCAGGGGTCATAGTAGCAGTTTTCAGTGTTTACGACGCGGACTCTGAACATAACCAACAGGTTATTTGTTCCATAGATGACAATATCCCTTTTCTTCTAAAACCATCCATAGAGAATTTCTACACTCTGGTAACAGATGGACCATTGGACAGAGAGAGGAAGTCAGAATACAACATCACCATCACGGTCACCGACTTGGGGACACCCAGGCTCAAAACGCAGCACAACATAACCGTGCAGGTCTCCGACGTCAACGACAACGCCCCGACCTTCACCCAAACCTCCTACACCCTGTGGGTCCCCGAGAACAACAGCCCCGCCCTGCACATCGGCACCATCAGCGCCACAGACAGAGACTCGGGCACCAACG